AAAAATGTGCCAAAGATGTTTAATCACTAAATATAGGGGAAAAAAATCTCCATGACCTACTGACCAGACATTTCTTGGCAATCGCTAATCAACCGTGTTAGCCTTTTATTGTCTATCCTACCATTATCTTCCAGGAAAGACCCGAACAAGAGGTCAGCGCAGCTGCAGTAGGTGTAAGTTCATTTGTTTTCTTCCGGGCAGTAGGCTGCAGTGAACAGGCTGTTCTCATCTGAACGTGGAAGGCTTCAGCTTAATTATTTGGCGTGTTTATTTACTTTGGACAGCCAGAAGATAAGGATAGTTTCTAGTGGGGTCATTTTTGAGAATAATTTTCAGTGCTTCCTAGAATCTAGGAGCATTCTTTTTGTTTGTTTGTTTTTTTTTTTAAGTTTCAGTTTACTGAAACTTTGCAGAAGCAGCACATTAAGAAAAGGGACTTGGTTAGTATGCATTTAGACTGTCTCTGTTCAGGGAATAGTATTTTTTACCTCTGCATATGCAATTATATATACATTCTTTTCCTGAAAACAAAAGACTATTTCCTGGCTTAATGACTCAGGGCAAGGAGGAACTCTATTCTTTTCTAGAAATATATGAGCAAAAAAGAAGGGGAAATGGTAGGAAGAAATCAGGTGACAGTGGTCTCCTGTCATGCAAACTAATTGTGTAGAATAGAGGCAATGGTAGTGTGTGCTTGTAGTTTCATGTGACTGCTCCTGAAATTCTCCATGTTTTAAAGCGAATTTTGTTTGAAAGACAGTGTTTTTTTTAAAAAGGGTTCATTGTTCAACTTCACCCTTTCATGTGATTTTAGCAAACCATTACTAACTCTGCTTGAGAAGTGGGTTTGTGCTAGGTGATCTCCAGTGTTCCTATCCAACCTCAGCTGTTCTGTGATGCTGTGATTATATGAAGAGGAAAATCAGAAAGCTGTTTTCTGCCTTTCTGGTAATGGATGTGTCTGCTTAAGATTTGGGGGATTGTCTCTCCCTCTCTCTCTTGCTGTGATATTGGAAACGTTGAAATTTGTTCAAGCCTTTATGGAAGCCAATACAAAGCTGCTCCTTTAACCTCATCTCCAACAGGGAGGCCCTTGAGGGCTTTAGCAGGCAACCAAAAAAGAGTTACTTTAGCTCTTACCTGATTGCCAGTAGGCCCTCTGAGGCTCTTCTGATCCCCAGGCAGGTAAGGTAGCCCTCCCTTCCCTCAAGGACAATAGTAGCAATGGGGATCTTCTATCCAGGAAAAAGTGAACCAGCAGCAAAGACTTGCCTATCTTCTGAGGCAGCCCATTTGGTAATAAAAAGATCAGTTTTCCCTTCTGCTCAAAAGGGCTATCCTGGCAACAAGAAGTATACGGATTTGACCTCCCAGGCCTTGATTGCATCTCATTCTGGTAATGTCAACACTGACGTAGAGGATTAGCCTGGAGTCTATTCCCTGCCAATTACAGCTCTATGAGCCACCTGTTCCCTTTTCTCCCTGAAGTCTGCACCAAAGCCATCTGTTTTGTACCACTGTTTTTTGATCTGGGATAATGCCTTAAACTCTGTGTTAAAACTTAAATGTTCTAGGAATTGCCTTTTGAACTGCTCTCCTCTCATGTGAGGCAGCAGGGAGAGGCTGAAGAGAGCTGTGCAAAAGAAGAGAGAATTTGAGGGTTGCAGCTGGTGCACTTCAACGGCAGAGAGGCATGAGTGGGGCTCTGGAAAGCTGTGCGGAGCAGGGGTGACCCTACGGAGCAGAGAACCAGTCAGCTACACTGCTGAATAAGCTCTGGACCTTTTGGTGAGGCTGGACTGAGCCTCACCAGTCTGGTGCAAAGACAGAAGGTGCCAGAATTGTCTTTCCTTTAACAGCATGCTTGTATTGCACAGTACTGCACAGCCCAGTCTCAAGGACAAGGTTGCCTGTAAGAGTGAAGCATATGGGCTTTTAACTCCCATGGATTTCAGTAAGAAGCTAGAGTTTTACATCATTTGCAAAATTTAGTTTTTACACCCCGATATTTGGATTAGGTGTTTAAAAATATATATATATCCTATTTCTTGTTTGTAAAGTTCCCTTTTCACTACGTTGTTTCAAAGCAGCTGTCATTGCACCATGCTTATTTTCTGTCTGATGCTCTCTGTGACAAACACCAGCCATCCTTTTATTTTCAATCGATGATGCAAGATAACTGGAAACTGCAGCTACTGGGACATGGTTATCTTTTCTTTCACATGAGGTTTGTCTTCTACTGGGATTCAGTGAGAGAAACATTTGTATAGCTAATAAAACATTTACATAAACAGAAATAACATGTTCTTGTTGGATGAGTTTTTGGGATAAAATTATCATAGGGCATGTTCATTAGTGCTGCTGATACTGAGATGATGATAAAAGGGGATTATTATCCCCATCATGCTGCATGCTGCACACTGTGCTTTCCTCCCAAAGTATGCTCTTTGGTTGGTACTAACAACCCTTTTCATAATTAGAAACAGGGAAGTCTGTTGGGTTATAGAAGCAAAATTTAGATAAAAATACTGAAGCTGGTAAAGGTTGGCATCTTTATCAATCTCTGTGAAAGGACTGTCTTGCAAAATGTTTAGTCAAAGGCTATAGCACTTGCCAAGACTCTTGAGTTAACAGCAGTCAGTTTAATTTTTCTTCATCACTTTGATCATCAAACTGATGAAGTAATAACTAATAACTGAGGTCTGTGCAATCAATCTTGTTTTATGAAGTATTTTTCATTGAGGAATATCAAATATTAGTATTAGTATTATTAATATTAGAAAAAGATATACAAATCTGACAGTGCAATAAACAGCTATGAACAGTGAATGCTATGGTCCTGTCTGTCCCACAAGGATTAGTATTTCATTGTATTTTTGGGCTTGTAGAAGTCATAAAACCCACAAATGCACAAGGTAGAAAATATTTCAAAAATAAAAAGTCAAAAAAGCTCATTTGCTAGAACTGCCTTTTATTTACAGTGTATCATTTTAATCTTAAAAACTTACTTTCAATGGCACACAGCTTTCAGAATCATTGCCTTGCTTCTGAAAACAAAATAATCCCCCCATCAATTTGTGCTTGTCTAGTTTAGGCTTTTCAATCATACAGAATATCTGACTCTATCTTCCTATTTTTTGTCAAAAGTTTAACAACACAGTGCTGCAGCAAGATTGCATGTTATGAGGATCCTACTCACAAAATAGATTTACAGCACAGTAAATACTAATTCATTAATTCCATAATAAATTAAAACTGTAATGAAAATGTTTATATAAATCCACAGTGTAGCTTTTGTGATGTAATACCATTTCCTTCTTGTTTGTTCATTTATAGCTCAGTTCACAAGAGCATCATTAGTGCAAATTAATAAGATTTTACTTCACAGTTATTTTGTAAGAAGCTCCTAGATGTATTTCAAATGATGTGCTTGAGGCCAGCATAATGAGTTAATTTTCAGTGTCTGGTTTGATGGGGGTTTTCTCTGCTTCAGGGTTTGATTTCTTCTGGCTTGGGATAGCAGGTAGGACCCAACTTGATTTCAGAGCTTCTCCTGATAGACCAGGTAAGAAGGAGAGTAGTGAATGACTCTGAGAAAATCCTCTTCTCTGGGACCTTGAGGTTTGGGCTGGTGGAAGAAAAACTGCCCCAGTCTTTAAGGAATTTAAAGGCAGGGAATTAGACTTCTTAACACCTTGAGAAACTTGATTAGATGGTAGCTGATCTGGAGAAAAAAGAGTGCTCAGATAGTGAGAAACATGACATTTATTTTTACAAGCTTCACATCTGTCTGTATTTTTTTCTTTTTGGATAAGTGAGCAAAAAAGAATTTAGTAGTAGTTTCAATTTTTGAGTAACCTAGTCTAGGAGACTCTAGGTTACTTTTGCTAAAGTTTTCAATATATATATATTAACTTCTGATTTCTTTTCTTATCAGTCCCTCTTTACAATTCTGTTGTTTGTGTTTCTGTTCTTACCATCTTGTCTAATAATTTTATTTATCCAAGGAGGCCCCCTGATCCCTCCTCATTATTTTCCCTTGCTCTGTATGCAGCCTCCTGGTGGGTTTGTACTTTAAAGCTACTACAGTTCTATGCCTTCTCTAAATTCAAATCCCCACTCTTGTATTCAGGCAGCTCACTAATTAATTTCTTAAAGTTTGCAAAGGAGGATTCAAAACCTTAATTATAGACCTATTTTTTCTCTGCCTTGGAATTTATTGTGAATTGCATTAGCTCCTATTCAATTAGTTCTTCTTTACTACAACTGATTCCTTTGGAAGAACGTCACTCAGTTAAAACTGAGTGCAAAATAGCAAAAGGTCTTATTGCCTCATTGAATTGTTGGCAAGGAAATCTGTATTCTTTTGTGATCAAGACTATCTGAGCTCTGCCATTATTTTCCAATGAATATACTTATTTCTCTCATAGTTTTTCAGAGTTTATTAATGATATACATTCCTGAGTTTGTGTGTTTATGATACACCCTTAACATGATTATTGCAAAACCTTTTTTATTCTCTCTCCTCCAAGTTATTTTCACTCAGATTCAATTTTATTCACAAATTGTTTGATTTGTTTGCAGTCTACATTTCATTAATATTCTGTGTCATCTTAACATCCATTTTTTTACCTTTTCTAAATGGTTTATATCAATTACCACTGGTCTTTTAATCATGATACGCTTTGGTCCTGTATCTGTCATTCCTATACTGCCTTCCTTAGCATCATGCATTCGGAGTTCCAATTCCTCCATTTTTTTTCCCACAAGCTCTTCACCTTTTTGTGCAAACAGTACAGTTTTTCCAATCTAGCCATATCAAAGTTCCCAAGTAGAGTAAGTGCTATTTTGGCTACGGAATTTTCCTTGCTTTTTTCACATTAAGTTTTCCTTGGTTGCATTCTCATTCCATCATTCTTTCCTGCTGCCCTTCATCTGTCACACCGAATATATGAGAGTCTGTTAAGGTTTGCCCCTGAGAGGATGTTCTAGTTTTAGGTTCATCCTGCCAGTCATGGCAGGCTCCAGAAGGTTACTTGGATTCTTTGGCTGACTTGGTGGTTCCATCATTTACAACTACCCACAAGTGCTTCCTAGTGGTCCAATATTACAAGCTCTTCTCTGAGCCACCTGCTTGTCCTCAGATTACTACCATGCTTTTGTCTCAATTCTTTACATGCAGGAAGAATCCTGCTATAAAAAAACTCTCAAAAAGACATTTTTTTCTTCCTGACATTATCATTCCATTTCCTTGAGTCTTCATGTTTCCTTTTTTTTTTTTTTTTTTGACATCCCCTTTTTTTATTTCCTTTCTGTAATCTCTGACAAATTTTCCTGGTGTAGATTCTGGTAAATTCCATAGAAATGAGGATTGGACAAGGATATTTTCTTTTAAGTCCATGAAAGTCTTGTGTAATTCCTGAAAAATGTGTTAAATTAATCTAGATTTAGACTGGGTTAATGGAGGATAAACTGATAAATGATCTCATTTTTTATTAGAAGTAACAGACCACATAATCAATTGGTATGAACTTGGTAGCTACTGCAGAAAATGCATCTATGATAAACTGGACCTCACAAGTCAGAAAAGGGAAGGTGTGACAGATGTGCTCCTTCCCCAGCTCAACCTGACTTCTCACAGGTAGCCCTGTTCAGGTGTTAACTACCACATTATCTGATCCTGGTAGTTGCCTCCCCAATTTCTTCCCCCACTCAGACATTAACCATCAATAACAGTCCTGATGGCCCTATCCTGATGGGGAGATAAGGCTAACTGTGAGTACACCAGCCAACAGTCATTTCTGAATTGAAAGAATGACTATCAGTCAATCATCTTATCCCATAAATACGGAGACATCCCAAGAGCCCATTGAGCTCTCCTTGCATGGCAGCGGGCTGCACGCCAGGATCTCCCCTTGAGCAGGGACGCCTCTCAAGGATACTCCTCGAGGTTAAGAGATCCTTCCCACTACAGATCCGTGGTAAGTGACTATAGCGCGCCTTTCTCTTTTTGAACTTGTAAACTTTACTTTGTAACTGTGCACAAATCCCTTAGATATAAACCATTGACCAGGTCTGGGACTAGGACTGGATCCAGCCGCACCCAGACTCCTCTCAGAAGGAGTTTGGAAAGCAAGGGTGTCCAATCTGAAGCTCATGACCCAACGGGAGGGTGTCCTTTCTAATTGTGTGTGTGTCTTGAACCTCCGTGCAGTAACTAATAAGTGACCTTGCCTTGTCATTACCAATAAAACCTATTTTTATTTCTTTCCCATGAGTGAAGTGCATTGTGTCACTCACCCCCACCACCACTCATTCCATGGCAGAAGGGAAGGGAAGGGGATTTGTGGAGTTTCAGATTACTTAACCAAACCTTCAAACCTATAAAACCTTCCTGCACTTAAGTATTCTCAGAAGTGGACCTCTGAGCCTATGAAATCTGCCTTCTCAGTGCTCATTAAGCAATGCCAAAAAATGACTGGGACACTGGCTCAGTGGGTGCAGGATAAGTGAGAAATTATGTAGTTTTAACAAGGAAGGAGTGTTAACTTTGTCACAAATTATCATAAAGAAAATAAGGTAGATACAGTAACATGAACACAGAGTTAATGGGAAAAATGCACTCAAAGGGTAGTTCTTTCAAAAGAGATCCTGTGGAGGATTCATTGCATTCATTAATAGTGTAGATGAAAGGTGCACTTATAAAAATCTGAAGATGGCAGTAAACATGGAAGGGTTGCAAAGACCCTGAAGGAAAATTTTATAATGCAGGACAATCTTGATAAAGAGGAGAGATCATAAGAAATGTAGATAAAGAAACTCAACAAAGATAAATGCAAAACACTGCACTTAGGAAAAAAACAAGAAAAATCACAAGCCACCAAAAACCCAAGTGCCAAATGGGGAATAACTGGCTAGGGAAGTAACTGTCTTGCAGGTAACTAGGGACACAGACTCTGTCCAAGTCAGAAACGGAGTGCAAAAGTTGAAGCAAAAACCCTATAGCTTCCCTGGCTTGGCAAAGAAATCACACCAGTCTTGTTGTGCAAGCCCCACTGTACCACTGTACCTATAGATTTACCTAGTGGGCACTGGCAAAGCTCTGAGTCTCTGTGGGTTTGCTTTGTTTTTGGTTTTTTATTATTATTATTATTATTTTGCTAGATACATGGTGCAAAAGAGGCTGAAGTTCTCCTTGTCACTTGCTCATGTACTATCTATCATATATTCGCTTCGACACTCACTATGTATTTAACAGGAGCAGTAACTCTTAAGACTCACCAGGTTCTTGTTTGGGGCAATGATCAGAAAAATTGGAAGATTTTTTTTCTCCTTTTCAGGCTAATTTCAATACACAATTCAAATTGTGATGGCTTGAACAGGCAGTCTGGAACTAGAGTTGCCTGGCATTTGGCAGTTCAGTGTAATTCATGGGTCATATTGAAGGTTCATTCATATTCAATAGTAGTTTGGAAAGTGGCTTAGTTCTCCTTTGTAAAAAAAAAAAAAAAAAAAAAAAAAACAAACCATCAATCTTTAGTTTGTAATGCATTCGTCAGGAGCAAGCTCAGTTCATTATGGAGTATTTTGTATTCTTTGAAATTGTGGCATGAAGAACAAATGCATATTGAGAGGGTCACCTGCTTCTCTCTTTGGAGCAAAGGCTCATGTTCATCCATTTGAAATTTTCACCCATGTGAAAAATCTCCAGAACTCTTCTGTACTGGATAAATCCTTCGTGATGGGCTTAAGTAGGGCATAAGTAGTTCAGTGTAATTTCCCCCAATGCACCGAGTATCCACCACAAACTGATGTTTCTTTAAAGAAAGGAAGAACAGCACCCAAATTCCACTGTTGTCCATCTGCTCCTGTGTATCGTATTTAGGACTCTCAGCTTAGGAGGCCCTGGAATGATTTCAGGACTGGGTACAGGGATGACTTTAAGATATAGTCACATATAGTGACATACAATGACAGGTATTAATATTTGTATTGCAATGTGCGAGTCTGGATCCAGACCTGAGATCTGTGAGGAGCAGAAGCCCAGTGGTGATTCCCCATAAAACCAGAAGCTATACACAGGAAAAGTGTCTACAGTAATTCATATTCAGAGGGTGGAGTCAGTCGCCCAAGGAAGAATGATGTTCAGGGAAACTTTTTTGCTCAGCAGTGACTCAGGAGTGAGTAAACCACAGAGACAGGAGTAGTTCTGTCCGGGCAGCCCCACACAGTAGCAGTGCTGTCAGGGCAGCACTCCCCAAGCCCCACATACTAGTAGTGCTGTCCGGGCAGCATTGCCCAAGCCCCAGACACTAGCAGTGCTGTCAGGGCCGCACTGCCCCAGCCCCACACACTAACAGTGCTGTCAGGAGGCCTTGCCCAAGCCACACGTTCTGTCCCGCAGGAGGGGTGGCTCTTAGGCTCTCTCCCTTCTCAAATCGTGGACCATGGTGTCCCTCTGCAGACAGGAGGGCTCTTGGTGGGCTCCTTTGCTGTGGACTGTGGAAAGGAGATACTTCAAATCATGAGGAGTAATGGCCAATGCAACACTGATACTGATATTATTAAATGCTGGTCTGAAACAGGTTTATTGTTTAATAGGCGATAACCTCACCATGGTTTCAGACCTTGTGTACCACATGAAGAAGCGAGAGCTCTCTAGAAGTCCCGTTTTTGGGAAATGTGAGTGTGGGTGGAGCTGCACGCAGACTGACTGATGACAGGCCCTGCTGGGGCTACGCGCAGGGCATATGAGGCACTATTTGGCCCTGGGAGCAAATGAAGGGAGGCTGTCTATAAAAATGGTTTAGTCACCCAAAGTCACACAAATGTTAATTTCCCTAGGGTACTGTTTTATTGTTATTACCAGATTTCTAACATGTATTTTTAAAGGTTTTTGCTTCCTTTTTTGTTGCCCTTCCCTTTTTGGAAGATGTTTCTTCTTTCTGTTCATTTTAACTAGTTTCAGTTCTCCTTCTAATTTATGCTTATTTTATCTTTCTAGCTCCCTGATTGCTCTTTTTAACTGGTCTAGTTGCAAGTTTTTAGCCAACAGTGTAACAAAAATATTAGAAAAAATGAAGTGTTTTTCTTTCGCTCAAATGTCTTTTTTTGCATGATCCATTTTCCTGGGCAAAGGCCGTGTCCAGAACAGTAATATTTTAAGGGCTGGAAGAATGGTGAGTGAAATCTTGGCTCTGAAGTAGTTATTTGGAAAGCTCAAGGATCAAATGTGTTATTTGTGTTAGCAAAGGAGAAATGCCATCTATTTTTTGCAAATAACTTTCCTTTTCAGGAGCAGAGAACATTAGTAGCAAGTTTAAAAATAGAAAGAATATTTGGGGTTTTGAAAGCAGTTAGATTATTTTATTTTCCTAAGCAAGCAGGGAGTACCAGCTCAGTACTGACATATCAGTATTGAGCTGGGAGTTGTATTAAGTGATCTCCAGAGGTGCCTTCCACCTCAACCACTCTGTGATTTTGTGAAAAAGGAACCAGACCCCCCCGAAAGCCCTCGGACGTTTTATGTGGGCACAGGACGGTACTGTCACTGAGACATGGCTGTACTTACTCTTCTGAGCACAGTGGTTGTGTATGGGAGCTAGATTGTTCCGGACAGGAGTAAGAACTTTTATTTTGGATTGATCTAAGGACATCTGTTGAAATTTTTTACCTGTGAAATAAAAAGATAATCTATTGCCATATGAAAATTGTTGTAAATAATATGGTTCACAATAGCTCTCTGCTTTATAGAAGAAAAAATCATTTAGCATTACTCAGAAATATATGGGTGTTGGGGCCTTAGTAAGAATATATAGGAAAGTGGAGTTTGTGGGGAACTGGACCGACGCCTAGCAACCAAGCACCTAGAGGAGAACAAATCAGCTGGGAGCCTGCAGCCAATGAGTGCTGCTCCTCAGCGCATGCCCACCTGCACGGGTATAAAGCTCTGCTGCAGACAACAGCAGAGTGGAGTTGGCCTCACTTTGTGTGGAGGTGTTGTTTGCTCTGGCTTGTGGGGAGGGCCCTGGCACTTGGTGCGAGAGTGACCCTCGACATCTGGTGACCCCGACGTGATCGTGCGAGAACGCGAGGGATCTTACTGGAAGCGGATTGTGATCACGACCTGGTGAGTCAGAATGGGAATTGCCACATCTAGAGTGGAAGTTGCTGCAACAGCAATGGAACATGATACTGTTGAACGCTTCGTAAGGCTTGCTCAAAAAACTAAGATTGAGGTCTCGAAAACCGAGTTAAC